ATTTTGAAAATGGTAAAACAAAAAAAAAACAATACGGTTGTTTTCCTTTTGCGATTTTATTTTGAAACAAAAAAAGACAAAGAACAAGCCATTGCTGAATTAGCAACACAGGATTTTTAGTTTTGGCTTTGATTTTTGTCTTTGCTTTTATAAAATAGCATTAAAATATGTCTCTTTTATGTTTTTTTCCATAAAAAGTATATCTAATCAGACAAACTTAACATGTTTGTGGCTATACACTTTCTTAAATTTATCATGTAGTTGCTTTACCATACTATTCAGTCTGTACCAATTAGAGTTTAAAATGTTTGAACCACTTTTTTACAGTGTATTTCATTCTTCAATTGCATTAAACTTGACTGTACAGCTCCTCTGTATTCATGTTACAGTTATAGCAATAAGAATAAAAAGTTTACATTAGAAAGACAAGTTCTTAGGAACCGTACAGCTGGCCTTCGAACTAAAATGAATAAAAATGATAAATGGAGCTGAAACAAACAATGTACAATGAGCTTCTCTGGTAAGTGCTTTTTATTACATTGTAACTTTTTAAAAACGATGAATGTGGCTGTTTAAAGTTGCCAAATCTATCCAGTTTCACTGTTTGTCTCTCCATCTTTGAGTTTAAAGGCTGGTTTTGTAGTTTACAAGGTACCACTCATGGTCTCTGTTATTAATCAGGAGCACGCTTTCATTTCAGTTTGGCTTGTAATGAAAAGATTGCTTTCAGCATTCTCTCCAAATTCCATTTTAATCCATTTTCCACAGAATGTTTGCACTGTCAGATCAAAATTTTGTTTGACTATTGCTTTATTTATACAGTAGTATACTATTTTAAAGCTAATACTACTCAGTGACCATGGTATTCAGTTTAATTTTGCCTGAAGGGAAACATATTCCTTTAGGGTTATGGTAGATATTATCAGGAACTCAGTTTGTTCAGTTGCGACATACACCTCAGAAAACCATTTATTTGTTGGCTTTTAAAAGCCTTCCCAGATAAAGTCACGAAGAATGAAAAGAAACCTTTAATTGTTTAAACAAATGATTTTGAGCTCACTGGTTGAGGACACCATGAACCAGTGGACTGTTTTTAGCAAAGTGTTTATATTTTAAGAAAGTCTTAGTGTTAGTAATAAATGCCTTAGATGAACTTGTCAGCTAACAACTGGACAGCCATCCCAGCTGGAGACCCTTTGAGAGCTCTGTAAACGGAGCTGTGCTAAAGGAAATATGGTTCATTCATTTTCTAACGCTGGTGTCAGTTTGACGCCATGCTCGACAGTTTTATTTAAAACAGACAAATTGTCGGGTTTCCAAAGAAAACCGTCTCCAGTGGTGATGGGTGTCTCCGTTATGCAGAAGAAAAGATGCTAGTTTATGCTTTGACTTTCTAATAGAGGGCAAGCGTGTGTGTGTTTTCTGCTGGGATGACTCTTGGTTCTCTCTTGTCTTTAGATACCAGCCTGTTGATATCATTCAACCAACCAATCATGTATTGCCAGCCTCATTCGGGGATTCTGATTGGCACATTGTCACAGGCAACTCTCTTACCACCACCAATGAGTCCCCACGTAGAAAACCCTCACAGCATGAGCTGGAGAAACAGAGAATGCCAGGTGACTATTTCTTCTTCTATCTATGTTGTGAAGACTGACTGGGCGCTTGTGCCTTTTTTTTCTTGTGCCCCCCCCCCCTTCCCTCCCCATTTTTTCTTTTGTTTTTTGTTTTGTTTTGTTTTGTTGTTTTGTTTTTTTTTTTGGTTTTGTTTTCCTCGCTCTCCTTTCTTGCAGAGCATGACCTTCTGAGGCAGGAGCTGAACAACCGCTTCCTGGTTCAGAGTTCAGAGCGGGGCCGGGGGCCGCCTGCCTCGCCGCTGGCCCCCGTGTCGCTCCTGAGGGCCGAGTTTCACCAACACCAGCACATGCACCAGCACCAACACACCCATCAGCACACCTTCACGCCCTTCCCCGCCAGTCTTCCCCCGGCCGCCATCCTCACCCCGCCCACCGCACCCCCCATGGTGCGTACCCAAGCCAGAAATGTGAGGATAAGTAAAAAATAAATAAATAAATAAAATTTTTATAAAGCAGAAGCTCCCATAACTTCCCACCAGCTCACCGTCACCGCCCCCTCCAATCTTCTCTTCAATCGATTCCTCCCTTTATCTTTTTTCTTATGTTTACCAGATAAATCCTGTAGCTGCGCAAACCCCTTTATCTTAAAAATAAATGACTTCATTTTCATTGCCTCATACTGTTTTGCTAAAGCTTTCACATCCACGTCAGAAAGAAAAAAAAGGCCCTCCTTATGTCACCTCCCTTTATGCAAACACACACATCAGCATATCTTTGCTGGTTTAGATCCACACAGCTCATGTCAGTCAGACGCCGTCAAATACATTTTCTGTTTAGACCCAACAATCCCTTTAACGTTTTCATCCGTGGTAGTTTAATATATAAAAGCACATTCGTACCCATCGAGCCTCAGAGAAACAGTTGTCTGACTCACGTCTGCCAACAGGCGTATTGTAATATTCCATTTAAAATCATTACTTTTCTTTTTCCTTTCACGTTAATTCTGCCGTTCAATCTTTGCTGATGATTAAAGCGTTTTCGATAGGTTTCATATGGATGTATTTAAATGTTCAGGTCTGTGTGTGTGTGTGTGTGTGTGTGTGTGTGTCGGAGAAGCCAGCAGAGATCGACGGTGTGTGAGAGCTTACCGAGAGTTTTCTTCTGCTGCAGTGGGGAGGAAGAAGAGGAGGAGGAGGAGGAGGAAGAAGAGGAGGAGAGCAACTCTGCTGCTCTCTCCGTTCTTCAGAGGCGACTCTCCATCTGCTGCCTCCGGTGCTGGTCGGGTTGTTTATCGGCTCCTGGAGGGGGGCGGTGGGGCTGGGTGAGGAGGAGGAGGAGGAGGGGAGATGAAGAGCATCCTCCTGCTCGTTGAGGGAGGAAGAGGAGGTGCTGCGCAGCAAGGCCTCCTCCTCAGCTCAGGGTTCCTCCTGCAGCCAGAAGCATCTCTGCTGCAGCAGACCCCCTCCTTCCTGCAGCAACCGGAACCACCGGGACACACACACACACACACACACACACACACACACACACACACACACAGTGTTGTTATGCAACATGATCACAGACAGCAGACTGGGACAGACACATCCTGAAACTTGTCCAGCTTCCCTGATCTGATCTGATCCTCCTCCTCCTGCTCCTCCTCCTCCTCCTCCTCCTCCTGCTCCTCCTGCTCCTCCTCTGAGGGATGATTCAGTGTGAACCTGCTGATGGAGGACAGACAGTGTGAGAAACTCACAATGAACAATGACCTCTTCTCAGTTTCTGGCCTTGATTTGAATTTTCTTCAGTTAATCTGAGCCTGAAACAGAGCAGAAACACTCCAACAGGTTTAAAAGGATGTAAAACTGTAAATGTGATATATTTCTCTTTACTTGATAAAGTGCCTGCAGTAGAACACATTGTGTTGTTTTTGATCAAACACTGACCCACAACAGCAGAGTCCACAGAAAAACATGATGAAACTGAAGATGGCTTTTCAGTCAAATATTCTGAGTCAAAATGAATTAAAGTAAAATAAATCTAATCCACATGTGAGTGCAACAGATTGATGTGTATAATTCAGAAGTCATTGGTGTCCACCACACACTGAATGGATCACACACTGTGGGAATGTAAACAAGGCAAAGAAAGAGGCAATTATTTCCCTTTTCTTTTTGAATGTCGCCATCTGCTGGTAACAACATCAAACTACAAGTTACAACAAAACCAGTCACTAAAAAAAGTGGTTAAATTACAAATTAAATACTACACCTCATACTTAGCAGGTACAATTTCATGCTGATGTACTTAGTATTCCCAAGTATCTCTGTGTCCTCGTCTGGGGCTGAAATATGTTTACAAGTTTGAACCAGAAGGTAAATGTTGAAGTTTAAATAAGATTTGGGTCTAGGAGTTTATACAAGATATAACTCGACACAAACTGTCACTGATGTCCCGTCACCATTCAGCACTGACAAACTGACAGGTGGAGAGCATTTCTAAGTTTCAGTCTAAGCCTCAGTGAAAGACAAATATATTGGCCTGTACTCAAACTACATAAATAATAAAAATACTAAAATCCACCCATTATCTATACCTGTTTATTCCTTTTCTAAAGTCACTGGTGCCCATATCCAGCAGTCCCAGTGTGAGGGGCGGGGTTCACCCTGGACAGGTCTCAGTCCATCACAGAGACACATGGAGACAAACAAGACAAACAAGCATTCACTCTCTCACTCACAGCTAGGGACAATTTAGTTAATTAACCTAACAGTCATGTTTTTGGTCTGTGGGAGGAAGCCGGAGTACCCGGAGAGAACCCACACATGCACGGAGAGAACATGCAAACTCTACCCAGAAAGGTCCCTGGGCTGGGATTTGAACCAGCGACCTTCTTGCTGAGAGGCATCAGTTCTACCATCTGAGCCACTAAAAACTAAAATACTCAAGTAAAATAAACCTTCAAAGTTGGTGTCATGAAACGGACCAAGTGGAGCTAGCTTGATGAAATGTGGACTAGAGTGGGAATAAAGTGGAGTGTTTACCAGTCGATCTACGTTCCTACCCTCATCTATGGTCAGGAGCTTTGGGTAGTGACTGAAAGAAGGAGATCACAGATCCAAGCAGCTGAAATGAGTTTCCTCTGNGTGTGTGTGTGTGTGTGTGTGTGTGTGTGTGTGTGTGTGCACTTGTTCACAGTCCACTGCCAGCCATTCTTTACAATTACCAATTCAAAGCTTTGCACTTGGTCAAATGACTTCATTGCAGATAAAGAGGAATGACATCACTATAAAACTGTTTTGATAATGTTCCTAATTGCTTCCGTGCCTCGACTGCCATCAAGTTTGAGAAATGTGGGGGCTGCACTGGGGGGGGCAACACTGGCAGCTCTCAGATTAGCACAGAGCTGGGTAAAAAAAACGGTTATGAGTATTCATTCATCATTTTTGAATGCACACCAATCTCTGACAAGTCTTTTCAGATGGGTTCACCATTTGTAGCTTTTAGGCATTAGTTTAATAGATCTAATCCATCACGTCATGACCTCTGATTAAGAGCCTGTGGTCCCATTAAGGYCCCCTTACTAAGATTATTCCCATCCTGTGCATTAGAAATCAAAGTGCTGGTATTTGTGGCCGGTCTCAGATAAGTACAGAGTGCCTGAGCCAGCACATGTTGTTATCTGGCCTGCTGTTCATTCCTGACATGGCTAGAGTTCTGTGCAATGCATAGTATTTTCTTTGAACATAAAAMAGAGGATTTTCCTTGTTTCTCTAATTCTCCCCTCCCTTAAATCTGCTCCTTAATTCCCCCTAAGTTTTGTTGTGCAACGTTAAAATCATATACTGTTGTTCTTACTTAACTCATACCTTTATCCCCTCTTCTCACTCTTTAGTATTCTGTTATTCTTCTGTTTGTYCTCTCAGAGAATCAGGAGTAATCCTGTTGTTTTTTTACTGTTTTTATATAAAAAAGGCTGAAGTGGTGTTTCCCAGCTGTGCTTCGTCTCCTGCTTTTATTTTACCCTGCTCTCTAGATGCCCCGTGTCATTTCAGCTATGTAACAGCCTTCGGCTAATGGCCGTAATTAATGAAATTATGAAGCTCCTATATTAGTTTATTGCTTTACGCCCTCAAGCAGCTGGCTTGCCAAATGGTAGCGGTGAATGGCAGCCTCCTTGCCCCTGCCGTGTCTTTGCACAAGAAATGTTTTTAAGATGAAATATAAAGCTTTAATTAGTCGGAGCTGTTTGCCGTAAATCTGCGACAGCTTCTATAAATTAAAAAAGGCAAGCTTTTGTGTTTTCCTTTTTGTCTTTTTACAAGGCCGTAAACCATTCGGCCATTTTTTTTCCCCTGTGTCAGACAATAAACRGGCCGCACCTTCAGAAATGCAGTGGAGCTGTTTAATGAGCTCAGACGATGGTTTAGCTTTTTCCTCTCAATAGGCTGTCTGTCTTTGATATGGGCCCATTATCTCCCGCAGACAGGGCCGCCAATACCACTGCTGCCATTTTCTGTGCTGATGTGGGGAGCACCCACGCCCCACACCCCACAACAACATGAGGGGCCCCTTACCCACGCAGATGTAGCTCCACCTCTAACTCAGCCAAACGGGCACCCACTTCTCCTCAAGCACCCAAGTCGCAGCTCGCGTGATTCCGTCATTTCTTCCTCCCGTTTTACGAAAAACCCCAAACCTCTGCACTGYAAAAAATGAAATGTTGRATTTACTTAACCATGTTATGTTACCTGGTTCCACTTAACTGAGTTGAGTAAATTCAAAKCAATATACCAGTTTTTTAKCCAAAGAACACRAGTAYGTTGCTTTGAATTTACTCAACTCAGTTAAGTGGAACCAGGTAACATARCATGGTTRAGTAAATCCAACATTTCATTTTTAGAGTGTGCRTCTGCCACGAGAGATTTGCAGAAGCACTTGTGAAAAGTACCTGCAAATAGTTTGTGTTTTTTCAAAAAAAAAAGAGGAATAATTTACTGTTGCATGTAATTAGCAATTTTCTAAATAGAGGAGCAGTGTTCGCTCACAAACAAGACATACAAGGTTCTCATTCATGTGTGGGACGACCTTTCCTTTCTGTCCTCCCCTGCCCTCCTGCTCAGCTAGCTGACTACTTCCCCCGTGTCTCCAGGGCATGATCAAAAACATTATTTCATTTTTTTTTTTTCAATTTACCACACAGTTTTTATTATGACAAATTCCAACGAAATGATCCTAACAGGCATAATCCCCGGCACAGGAAAGATCTCTTCACATCGTGTCACAGTGTGAAGGTTGTCAGTTTCATGCTGATCTGTCCTAAATTAGCTCCTAACCGTTGCAAATGCCTCATTTCAGATTCAGTCAAATGAGACTCGCTCTGTTCATTTTTTTTATGTACCCAGTTTCTCTCACAGACCTGATCTCACTCTGGGTCTGCTTTTCTAACCCAGAAAAAAGAACTACATTCCTCCATTTTGTCTTTTACTATCTGTTTTTCTTTTTGTAAGTAGTATTATATTAAATTTTCCAATAAATGGAAACATTCAGTCTGGCTTTTAAAAGGATTTATTAAAACCCRGTGTCTGTGTACTTGATTGGAAAATCGTCCGTTCAGCCATGACAGTCTTCTGAAGTGGTTTAATGGTTGTGATTTAACTGCCTATCTGACCATGTTTTTATATATTTAACCCATGACCAGTGCAAGCAAGCTGCTTCTCCCCGGGCCTTATTATGTTGGCTTTAAACTTGCTCAATAACAGATGAATTTGTGTTTTACTTTTTATTTTGTTAGCAATGTTTATTGTGGGTTGTTTTTTTGCACAAAAGCTTTTTGTTTCCTAACTCTGTCCTCTCTTTTCCTCCACCAGTTCGACAAATACACCCCCAAGCTGGACAATCCATTCATCAGACATTCAAATGTGAGTTTTCTTTGTGATTCTTATGTAAATCTGCTCTTTGCATTTGGCAAATCAAATATTTGACATATTTGAATGTTGCCGTGAGAACATTTCTTGTGGCTGTGACTTTGTTTGTTCACATGCTTGAGTCCTGTTTGTGTCTCTGTATGATTTTCTTTTCTTTGTCCCCCCACCCCACCCCCTTCATCCTCTGTTGTCCCCAGTTCTTCCCCTCCTATCCCCCAACCATGCCAGGCATGCCCCCGCTGCTCCCACACTCAGGACCCTTCAGCTCGCTGCAAGGAGCCTTTCAGCCCAAGGTCAGACCCACCTCCCCACCCTCATCTTACAGGCTGCAACAGGCACAGAATAGAAGGAAGACAACCATCCATCCATTTTCTTTATCTGCTTCTCCTYRCTGGGTAGCGGGGGGAGCTGTTCTCCAGCAGGTCACTGTGAGAGAGGCGGGGGGACACCTTGGACAGGACACAAGTCCATCACAGAGACAACCAAAACAACCACTCACACTCTCTATCCACAGTTTAGAGTTAYCAATTAACCTAACATACTGTACATGTTTTTAGACTGTGGGAGGAAACCTGAGTACTCAGGGAAAACCCACAGGAGGCAAACCTGTGACCTGCTTACTGAGAGGCGATAGATCGAACCCCTGAGCTGTCATGCTTTTCAATAAAAATGAAGATGTGTACAAAAGAAAATAAAATTTGTTTATTTATTTAAGTGGTTTTTAACCAGACAAATCCACTGAAGGCAACCTATTGTACATGTTTTTGGGGTGCAAATACACAAATTAAAAATGCTAGGTGACCTTTTTTATTTTGTTTCTCATAAATTAGCATGCTACCAACTAAAATTACTAGTTTAAATTATATGTATATGTA